GATTCTAATTGTGCCTTTCGCTCTTCCCGTGAGTTTTTGTGCTATGATGCTGGACAATAGTAAATCGTGTTGATCAGCCGCCAGTCGCTTCACTGCTAATTGAACGTGACCAATAAAGGACGTTAAGTCCGTCTAACTTCGGGATTAAATGCAGTGCTTTATCATACGATTTTATGAGTATTTTATTTTTTGGTGCGAAAATTTCTGACGTTGTTGTTTCTTGATATTGTTCTCTTGGTAATTGGCCTACACGTAGGCTTTTCATTTGGTTTTTTATATCTAGCTTGTATCACGTCTGTTATGGAGAATACTTTTTCTGCTATAGTACGCCCAAAGTGAGCGTTTGATCGCAATTAACAAAGTTTCTGTGCGCGCGACATTGGAGCGGTTATGAAGATTCCTGATTCTAAAATATGTTCGTATCCATACTCGATTCTGTTGAGGTATCGAAAGTAATGATTTTCCGTACCGTTTTGTAATTTGTTCACGCCAATATGATTCAGTTGGTTTGGGAGGTAAAACGGGATAATCTCCGGGTCTCCACCTCAGAAGTAACTAACACGATTAGTGCTAGCGCTAGTATATTATCCCCAAAATAAAAGTGCTCGGATTTTATTTGCCCTAATTATTCCGCACAGCTGCCACCAATTGTAAAAATTGTGAAATTACTTACAATAAAAGAATGATTTATTCTGTCAACTTTCATCACACAATATACTTAATTTTACTCTACGCTTTAATGATACAGTATGACGAGGTTTTGATCGTGTCTAAGAACTGCAAAGATCTGGAGCTTGCAGTCCGAGGCTTCCATTTTTACAGGGCCCAAAAAGGGTCGTATCGGTTTTCCGAAAGCTTTCCAGAATAAGTCATTGCGTCCTCGGAATAATTAATCGCTGATTACGACGTCGTGAAATCGAGAAAATAATTTTTCAAAAGTTATCATATTTTCTTAAGATATGATAGTTATAAAAGTTTATATCTAGGATTTGTTATCGTTATCACATTCTTAAAGATAGATACGTGGACAATGATCGCAGCTGCTACAACGTCGGACGAGTCATAAGGAGGTTTGTTCGTATAAAACTATTCTGGCACTTTACCAGCAACCATGCACACGTATTACGTATGTGAATTCGTAAGGTATAAAAGTAATTGTGAATAAGCAATTAAATAATAAAAGTTGTTTGTCCGGGAACAGTCACAGCAAGCGGACGTAAGTCTTATCGATAGAGGCAGTGTCTTGCGACAGCGCATAACACTGAAACAGCCCCGAGTGACGCTATTACGTCTTAATACGTTAATTAGAAAGCAAATTAACTTTGTAATTAAATTGAATATAATTAAGTCTATTGCCGGGAGAACGTCGCGTCGCGTCGTAACGGATAGATTGCAAAACGTTTTTCTTTTAACGTTCTGACACTTAATCTGTAGGCGTATGACACGTATGAGTTACTATAAAAACACGCGATAGAGATCGTGATTGAGAACAAATAAAGCTCACTTACCGGGAAAACAATTAGTACCGAGTTGCGAGATTTTTTACACAACGTAATTATCATTATACTGACTTATATCGAATTAATTACAGGGGGGATTTGTAACGATATTGTGCTGATACGCGACATTGAAATACTTCCGATTAGTATTACGCGAGTCATACAAAGGTTGACTGTGCGCGTGCAAGTGTCGTGACTGTACGAGCGAGAGAGAGATAATTCACAATACTTTTTTGAGTGAATACGGTGTATAAGAGTAGAAGCCGTTCGAACCTTTCCTCCTTTCGCATCGCACTGCTATTGCAAGTGTCGTTGATATCTGAAAGTGAATTAATAACAGTTCTTTATTGTGAGGAATAACTACTTACTGTAGAAAATACTTACCTATTATTGAGAACAATCGATACTCGTTCGGGATTAGATCCTGGTGGAGCGAGTACCCACTTGGTTCCCGTGACGTCGGTACCTGCAACAAAAGAAGAAAAGATTATCAATCAGAGGAATCCTTCTTGGCGGTGAAATCAAGTGGCAACCATATAATGAGTGTTTATTATTTATAATCAGTAATTATTTATAATGTGATTCGGTCACAACATTAGCTTAGAAAAACACACTTAATAATTTAAATTTTCCATTCCGAAAAATATAAAACAAATTTACATCTCTCATCATATTGCAGGTCAATAGAACATTACTGGCAAATCTATTCTTGAATGGTTTTACTTTCTCTATATCGTTTCCATTATCTGTTATATTAGCTTTTATTGTTTTTAACTTATTTAGACATAAAAAAATATTTCTTTATTTTTGCCATATTAAATAAATTTTATCATTCTACTACTAGAATAACTGTATTATTGTTAGCGGAGTACGTGTACACACACACACACACACACACACACACACACACACACA